TGTGTCTGCTATTGTTTTCACAATTAAGGAATTCAAGCAAAGAGAACGAAAGTTATACCTTCAAGGTCACAAACTTGGCAGATATGACTTGAACCCAGGTCTTCTGATTACAAGTCTAGAACTCTCACCTACACCAAAATTAATCACTGATTAGTCTTACAACAGCATGATGAAGATAAAACTTTCAGAGACATAATTTCTTTTCTCTTTCAGAGACATAATTTCTTTTCTCTAATGCTAATTCTTTTTTTCTTCAAATCAAGTATTCTTTTTCTTAACTGATGAATTAGAATCTATTTCAGCTTTATTTTCTCTTATTAACCCAAACCATTCACATAAAATGCATTTTCTGAGTCAATGATAAATAAATATTTAATAAGCACCTTCTATGTGCCAGACATTATGCTGTTAGAGGTGTTTCCTTATTTTTTTCCTCACTAGGTTAATTTCGACTTTAGCAATTTAATGCAAATCTATACATTCTGTATATATAGTTAGTGTACATAAATTGGAGAAAGTTGAGAATAAAATAGTTTATGTCATTGCCACTGTGATGGGAAATATTTTTTAAACTAAATGAGTTCTTTAAGGTGCATACTAATAAGATGGAAATATAAATGATTTTAAACAAGCATAAAGGAAATACTTGAAACTTTTAATAAGTGTATCAGGAATAATCATGCACAAGATTCAAAGTCAAATCAAGTAGATAATAAAAGTGGCCAAGGAACCTCAACAGTTTTTGCTTCCTGACTTCAGCAATTGTAATTCAATATTACATTTATTACAAGTCTGAAACAGTAGTTACATGGAACTCATTAGTTACTGTTATAGATAAATCCTTAGTGACAACAAACAAAGGAAAATGGGAAGAACTAATGCTATTTCTGCCTATATTGTTGTTTTGTTGATTAGTCATGTCTGACTCTTCTTGATGCCATTTGTGGTTTTCTTGGCAAAGATTTTGGAGTGGTTTGCCATTTCCTTCTCCAACTCATTTTACAGATGAGACAACTGAGGCAAACAGGGTTAAGTGGCATTCTCAGGGTCACACAGCTAGTGTGACCAGATTTGAACTCAGGTCTTCCTGACTCCAGGACTGACACTCTATCCACTGTACCACCTAGCTGCCCAATAACAAACAACAATGCTAGTTCAGTCTACATAGGATTTAAATCTTTGCAGAAGTGTAGTATGACATAGTGGAAAGAAAGTCAATCTCAGCCAGGAATACCAAAGTTCAAGTCTTGCCTCTCTGTGACAAGTCACTTAACCTCAGGTTATCCTCTAAGATAGCTGCTAATCAGCAGAAAAGGGGTTAGTCTTCTGGGAGAAGTACTATGCCAATAAAATCACAAGTCCAGTTGAAATATAAAACTAATAATTGATGTCAGAGAAAGAATTAAACCTATGCCTGACTTCCTGACCTAGGCCTATCTTCAATTTAACTAATGTCATCACTGTTTGGGCTATTTCTTCCCCAATGGAACCCTCACCTTTGCCCCTAAGTCCCTTGGCTACCATAGGTCAGTTTTCAATTTCTGTTATGGGGCCAAACCCTACACATCCCACTTTCTGATAGCTTCAAGCCATGCCACAGCACAAATACTCATTCCTACCCTCCAACTCCTCTTTTATATTTGAGATATATTTAAAGGAATAAATTCCCCTTTATGCATTCTTTTATCCCATAAGAATGGAAGCTCTTTGAGGGCAGGGACTTTCTTGCTTGCTTTTATTTTGTTGTACCAGCACTTAGCATAGTCCCTGGCACACAATAAGAGCTCAATGAAAAGTCCTATGTATTTATCTACCTATTTTTAGAGACAATGACATAGGTTTAAGATGATTCTTTGAAGATACAAAATAATTTTTTGCCTATCCATGGTAATCACATTTTGAACTATATTTATCAATATTAATAAAGCACTTATGCAGTCTTACATCATCACAATGTTTTCAGGAGTCTAGCAGAAAGAATAGACAAATGCACAAATGTGATGACAGTTACTATTACATGATGTTTGTGCCTTAGGGATGGTGTGACCCAAAAATTATGTGAGGTATGGGAAAAAAAGGAGAAATGGATGGAATGTAGGTTTGGGAAGGATTTCAGAGACCAGGTAGGATTTTAGTTGTACTTTAACATATAGGCAGATAAAGAAGGGGAGTGTGGAAATTCCAGGCATGGGGAGCAATATGAACAAAGACATGTATTGGGACAGAGTAGAATTATGTCTCAGGCATGGAATAAAATGAAGTAAGACCTCAAAAGGAAAGGTCAGGTGCCAGAATAACACGGGGTAATCTGAATGCCAAGTAAAGGAATTTGGGCCTAATTGGTAGACAAGGGAAGGCTGTGAAGATTTTTAAGTGGAGAAGTGATCAAATCGAATTTATGCACAAAAGGTATCAATATGGCAATGCTATGCAGGGTGGTTTATAGGGCTGAGGGAGAAAGTGAAAACAAGAAGACAAGTTAGGAGGCAAGGTTAGGAGAATAATAATAAGGTTGTGAACTATAATGATGGCAGGGGAATAATGAAGAGAGTGGTTACAAATGAGTTTTTTGCAAAGGTGGAATTGATAGGACTTAATAATGGATTTGCATAAGAGAGATTGAGGGAAAAAAATAAAAAAAGTACCACAAAGTTATAAACATAGGTCACAGAATGAATAATGGAGCTACAGAGAAATTGTGAGCTCAGAAGGAATGGGCCTAGGGCACAGAGGTCATGAGATGTTTTGAATTTGAGGTAGCAGTGGACTATTAAGCATTGTCATGGAGATAGCTGGAGATTGACTCTGAAGTTCAGAAGAGCAGTCAGGATGTATTGTATTAAATTTAATTAAAGTGGGAACCATGTGCATAAAGGTATAACTTCAATACTTGGCAAGAGACAAGATGGTCAGTAGCATGTGATATAGTGGCTAGAGAGCTAAATTTGGAATTAGGAAGACCTTACTTCAATCTTGACTCAGATTCTTACTAGTCAAGTGCGCTTGGACAAGTCACTTATTATGACTACCTCAGTTTCTTCATCTATAAAATAGAGATAATAATAGTAGCAGGTGATTGTGATGATCCAATGAGACAATAGATGTAAAAAAAAAGGCTTTGCAAACAGAAAACTGCCATGTAAAATTTCAGTGTAATTATCCAAAATACTACATAATAAAAATCTTATAGAAGTAGATCTGTGGAAAGAACAATAGAAAAGCCAATTGAAGATCAATATTCCTTATTCCCTGAACAAATATGCCTCTGAACAACTCCAACATCCCTTAAGGGAATGGTGTCAGAGTTTGGCAAGCAGAGTTGAAACACGATAGGATTATTTAATTGTAGCCAGTAAATTAGCATGTATTAACTTTTACTATGTGCCAGGCACTGTGCTTTGTGCTTTCTATTGAAAGAATTATTTACTTTGATTCCTTTAGCATAGAAATCAACCAGTCCAGCATTTGTTAAGAATCTAGTATGTGCACTTAGCTAGACACTGATTACAAAGACAAAATAATCCCTACTCTCAAGGAGTGAAGATATATAAAATATATATACAAAGTAAACATAAGGTTATTTCATTGGGAAGGAAGCACTATTAGCTGGGGAGTCAAGATAGGTCTTTTGTAAGTGATGGTACTTGAGTCAAACTATTGATTCTAAGTCTTGGAGTTAAGAAAGGGAGTATCACAGTTATGGAGGACAGCAGAGGCACAGTGACCTGAGATGTGAAGTCTATGTGCAATAAAAAAACAAGAATGTCAGTTTCTCTGAAAGGGATACATAAAACATGTACATAATAAAAATAGGAAGCATTTTTTTTCTTTCATGGCTATGTTCTTAAAGGATAAAAGCATATTTATTGGAGGGAGTCTTAAAGAGCACATGCAACGATAAAAAAAATCAGTACTAGGAATTTTAGAATACTTGCTATCTTTGAACTCCTGAAGTTAAATATGTGTAACCTTGTGTTTATTCATTTAACAAACATTTATTCAATGCTTTGAGCATGTGTATCTCTCATATAGATAGATAGCTAGATAGAGATGTGTGTACCGCATAAATATATATGCAAAAATATGTGTATGTACACTTGTCTACACACACACACACACACACACACACACACACAACACACACACATATATATATATATATATATAGGCTTGGACTTCTGATTTTATCTGGGCAGAGAACTCTGGTATGTAAATTCACTCTATCAGTAGAGAAATATTTGTAATTTATAATCGCAGAGATTTGCTTGAGTTAGTGAGAGTTGAAATGAGTTGCCCATGGTCACACAGGTAGTATGAGGAGTATATGTCAGTGCCAAGACTTGAACCCATGTCTTCCAGACTTCTAGACTGATCCTTTATCCATTACGGCACTGTGTCTCTCCAGTAATAAATACATGCTATACGCAAAAAACTCCTGACCTTATGAGATAACTCGTCAGAATGGTAGAAGAATAAATTAGTTTTTTCTTTATATTGCCTACCTTCCAGAAGTAGTGGTTGGGTCCAGTAACAAACATCAGATGAATATCTCCTATTTCTATATTCAATTATAAATTATTTAAAGTTTATTCTTGTTTTCTACCACAATAAACGACCTTGCAAGGTAGGCAGTGTGAGTATTATTATTATGTCTATAAATGAGGAAACTGAGGTTCAGAGAAGTGAATGACTTGTCCATAGTACTTGAGGCAGTAATTGTTAATGCTAAGATCCCAAGTCATCTGCTGACATCAAGTCTAAGACTTCCTGTTCCACCATTTTGCCCCTAGAAAACAGAATAGAAAAGTCCAGTAAAAGCAGTAGAAACCAAGAAGTATATGAGTTGTAAAGGGGAAGAGATTATGTCAAGAGCTACAAAACATCAATACCAAGCTTGGGGAAAACAATCATTTAAAAAATGAGCTTTTCAATGGTGCCTAAATTAATTAAAAGTCTGCTATGCCTTTTTATACTAATTGTTTCCTTTGCTTAAATTGTAGGTCATGCTGCCATTGTTGCAGACACTAATCAAGCATGGGATATGAAATTATTACTCCTAAATAAATGAATTGCTTAATCTCCAATGACCATCTATACATATTCCATCTTCACAAAGTTTATCAATTTTGTCTCATCAAGGCAATAGTGACCTTCTGTTCTCCAATATGCATGGGATTTTTGGACAATGCATTTGCAGATTTGACACTCTTTTCCAGGAAGACAAACGTTATATTTCTTTGGTATTTATCATTTGACAAATGCAAGCATTTTTGTTATCAATCAGATCTTACTGAACTTAACAGCAGCCGCTGTGGAATGTTTAAAAGTCCATTGTATTTCTGAAGACTGAGAGCTAAGATGAAGGACATGCCACTCAAAATTCAGGTGCTACTTGGCCTAGCTCTCACTGCATTGGTACAAGCTATAGATAAAAAAGTGGATTGTCCACCATCATGTACATGTGAAATAAGACCTTGGTTTACACCAAGATCCATTTATATGGAGGCTCTTACGGTGGATTGTAATGATTTAGGTCTTTTTAATTTCCCGGACAGATTGCCTGATGACACACAGATCCTACTGCTGCAGACCAACAATATTGCAAAAATTGAAAACTCAGTAGACTTTCCAGTGAACCTTACTGGCCTGGACTTATCACAAAACAACTTATCCTCAGTCACCAATATTAATGTAAGAAAGATGCCTCAGCTTCTTTCCATCTATCTGGAGGAAAATAAACTTACTGAGCTGCCGGAAAAATGCCTGTCCAGGCTGAACAATTTACAAGAACTCTATATTAATCATAACTTCCTTTCTACCATTTCACCAGGAGCCTTTATTGGTCTACATAATCTTCTCCGACTTCATCTCAATTCAAATAGATTGCAGATGATCAACAGTAAGTGGTTTGAAGCTATTCCAAATCTAGAGATTCTCATGATAGGAGAAAATCCAATCATCAGAATCAAAGATATGAACTTTAAGCCACTTATCAATCTGCGCAGTCTGGTTATAGCTAGCATAAATCTCACTGAAATACCAGATAATGCATTGGTTGGCCTGGACAATTTAGAAAGCATCTCATTTTACGATAACAGATTTGTGAAAGTGCCCCACGAGGCTCTTCAAAAGGTAATCAACCTCAAATTTTTGGATCTAAATAAGAATCCTATTAATAGAATACGAAGAGGAGATTTCAGCAACATGTTACATCTAAAAGAGTTGGGGATAAATAATATGCCTGAATTGATTTCTATAGATAGCCTTGCTATTGATAATTTACCAGATCTAAGAAAAATAGAAGCTACTAACAACCCTAGATTATCATACATACATCCAAATGCATTCTACAGACTTCCCAAACTTGAATCACTCATGCTCAACAGTAATGCCCTCAGTGCCCTGTACCATGGAACCATTGAGTCCCTGCCTAACCTCAAAGAAATCAGCATACACAGCAATCCCATCAGATGTGACTGTGTTATCCGCTGGATCAATATGAATAAAACCAACATTCGATTGATGGAGCCTGATTCACTACTTTGTGTGGACCCTCCTGAATTTCAGGGTCAGAATGTTCGACAAGTACATTTCAGGGAAATGATGGAAATTTGTCTCCCTCTGATTGCCCCAGAAAGTTTTCCTTCTAATCTAGATTTAGAAGCTGGGAGCTATGTCTCATTACACTGTAGAGCTACAGCAGAGCCAGAGCCTGAAATCTACTGGATCACACCATCAGGCCACAAGCTCTTGCCTAATACTTTTTCTGACAAATTTTATGTCCATTCTGAAGGTACATTAGACATAAGTGACATAACTCCAAAGGAAGGTGGTTTATACACTTGCATAGCAACTAACCTGGTTGGTGCTGACTTAAAGTCAATTATGATCAAAGTTGATGGTTCTTTCCCCCAGGATAGTAATGGCTCTTTGAATATTAAGATAAAAGATGTTCAGTCTAATTCAGTTCTGGTATCTTGGAAAGCAAATTCAAAAATTCTTAAATCTAGTGTTAAATGGACTGCTTTTGTTAAAACTGAAAATTCTCATGCTGCCCAAAGTGCTCGAATACCATCTGATATCAAGGTATATAATCTCACACATCTGAATCCGTCAACTGAATATAAAATTTGTATTGATATCCCCACTATCTACCAGCAAAATAAAAAACAATGTATTAATGTCACCACAAAAGGACTGGATCTTGACCTAAAAGGTTATGAAAAGAATAATATAACAGCATTCATTGCCTGCCTAGGAGGTCTTCTGGGGGTAATCAGTGTGATATGTCTTTTCAGCTGCATCTCTCAGGAGATGAACTGTGATGCTGGACACAGCTATGTACGGAATTACCTACAGAAGCCAACACTTGCATTGAGTGAGCTTTATCCTCCTCTAATCAGCCTTTGGGATGCAAGAAAAGAGAAGAGCACAGCACTTGAAGTAAAAGCAACTGTTATAGGTGTGCCAACAAATATGTCTTAAGAATGGTGGTTAAAAAATAAAAACTTACTTTCTTTGAAGAAAAGCACAAGACTATAGTTGTGCTAAATAAAAGGGACAAAAATATTATTCTTTAGAAAGAAGTCTAGACTTCATCAGTGCTGCTTCTGACAATGGAAACATGTATGAGTTCAGCATTAAAAGAAAGTATTTTAATTAACTGGCTTCAAAGGGTACTGTGTCAACCAAATAAAACAACTTCATTTTCTAGAACTTTCATTTGACTTTTCTGTCTGGAATACAGCTCAAGTGAACAAGAACATTTTCTGTATTTTTTTTAAGTATGTAAGAGTAGTTGAACTGAGCAATACCTCCTCCTGTGTTGCGTTACACATATTAGCCACGAGTTTTTGCAGTGACCAGATAAACTTGAATTGGCACGTGGTATAGCAAAATGGACAAATTATGTAGAGTAGACACAGTGAGTATGTGAAACTTTTTTATGAGGAAAAATACATTTTGGATTAAAATCAATTGCTTTTGTCTTGTTTTGTTTCTAAATAAAAACAATTTCTGAGAGATACTATCTGACAAAAATAATCATTTTAACGGCGGATTAAAAAAACAACAACCCACATTCCATTGCATTGGGTAAAAACTTTTAATGGGCTATTTAATTACACCTCACACACAGAAATATATTTTGTAAGTCATTTTAAACTTCTAAGATATTAAAAAATAGCAACACAGTGTTTTATACTTTGAATATAGGAAAAAATTTCCATGAGGAATTTATGCATTTAGAGTGCTGTCTCAGAGTGCTTTTTCTTTATCCCTTTCCCCTAACAGTAGCTTGAAGACTAGATTTAATTACTGGGCTCAGAGAGTGATTCTGATTCAACACCTGAATTAAAGAAAATATTTAATCTTTAGTTGCACCTGAATTTTAGGGGTTTTGCTTTATAGGAAATTCTGCCAAATTTTAACAAGATATTTTCCAAAGATTCTTTTTCTAAAAAATATTTTCCCCATACTATTGTGATCCTAACCACATGATATGGTTAAATCTCATAAGAACGCGCAATTAGTTTAGTTATTTGATATGTTTTCAAATATAACATGAAGGAATAATTCCCAATTCTCTGTTAAAAAAAAACCAAGGCTATATTTAAAAACATAGCTGATAGGTAGTAGACATTTCTTATTCCAAAATATAATCATTCCTGAAAGAAAAGCAAATTGAATAAAACTATTCCTATGTCCAAAATTTAAATAATTTGTGCAAAAAACTTAAAGCAATACCAAAAAGCCTAATTTAGATTAAAGTAGTTATTAATGCCACCTAAGTATTTCTGTGATTAGAGTAATATGGAAAAGGTGTGATGAGGGGACTTTGATAGCTGTTAAATAAAATTTTAAAATCTGAGTAATTATTGATCATTTCAAATGCAACATTTATAATTTAGCTTTAAGAAAAAATAGCTTCTTTTAGGCTTTTTTATGTATCAAAAATATGTACACTTTCCCCATATGGCTAACGTGGACTAGAATGATGAAAAAAAATTCTGATATAATAAAATACAAGTGGTATGGACAAAGAGATTATCTGTGCAAAGTTGTAACTCTTCTGTGTTAATTATTGCTATGCCTAATCACAATCGTTTAACATTTATAACTGCAAACAACTGCATACTGTCAAAACACCATTGGCCCATAAATATTTACAGAATAGAACTTCCATAATTTTATCTGTCATTAGTGGACATTTGTTTTCCTTACCTCCCAGCTTCTGACACAATGACGTATACATATTTAATATTTATTAAATTAAGCTGAATTGAATTATTGATAGAATCACAGCCTCTAATTAAACCTTAACTATTTCTGATTATTTGGGAGGTAATTGATAACTCCTTCAATAAAGAAGAGGAAAGGAGTGTTAATTTTAAAACATTCTGAATTTGAACCTTACAAATTCAATGTGTTTCTTGAACACACATTTTACAACCTGATGAATCACCATCATACATTGGCTGACATTAGAATTTATCAGTAAGACACGCTCATATATCATGAGAGATTTCAGCACAATGGACAGAGCTTTTTAAGAGTGAGGCTATTTGTCAAAAATACAGGAGCTAAAATATGACCTATTATGATGAAGGTACCGTGTAGGTCAGGAACAACTTCCCTATGTATCTTGCATGTTTGTCTTTTGCACATATCTGCATTGAGAAGTATTTGAGATAAGGCTCAGAGGGGAGAATTTAATTTATTTTAAACAATGATTCCTTGGAAAAATGGTATGAAATAAATGCTTTGAAGGAACACTTAATAGCAAGCACTGAAATGAAAAATTATTTTTGTTTCATCTGAATAAATACAGCTGTTCATAGTGAACCATAATGCTATTTACTTTGTTTAAAATATAATCTAAATGTGCCATTGAGGGAGAAAATATATTTGTTTCAATAACAAGAATGACATTTCATACTCCCTATGTGATTTACTAAATAAACTTCAAATAAAAAAATTACCTTTGCACTCATCAAGGTACTCAAAGTATGTAAATGAAAAAAGTCTATCTGAATATGAATTAACAAGTAAATATATTATAGAAACACAAAAATTCTAATCAATAACCAATAAGCTCTTTAAATCAATAGGGGTATATAAATGCTAAATACAATTTTTGTGATGAGAAGAACAATTTTTGTACAAAATTATAAAGGATTACATATTTAGTAGTATATTACATATTTCATAGTTCTAATTGCACAATGATATATAAAATATACACTTAATTTAAAAGAATCACATCTAGTTGAAACAGGAAATAAATTGAAATGACATGACTATTAAAAAGCAAAGCAACAATGTTCAACATACAAGTATTTCATGATCTGCTGAAATGGTGGTAGAATCTATGATGATTTACAAGGCAGAATATAGGCTATTCATTACAAATATTTCAATATAACTGAAAACACACATTCACATAAATCTAAAGATTACAGCCCAGTTTTGTGGGAATGTAGGATAAAGCCAGAATATCTGATAGTATTCTGACTAAAATTGAACTTGGGCTAAGTGTTCACAACAAGCACTAAATTTCATTTTGTTTGTACATTTATGGGTTTTAATAACCAAAAAGTAGGCTGTGGTTTAAACAGACTTCCTCACTTTCTTTTAGTCATTATTGTAATGTATGTATCAATTACATTTCCTACCAAGAACTGATTCTCAGTTGTTGTTTTAGAAAAATTACAAGATTTATAACTTACAGGATTATCTAGCACTAATATAGGATTGTTTTTCAAAAAAAATAGATATAAACAAGATCAAAACTGTAAAATATGCTAATACCTAGGCTTGTTCATTAAAGTATAAGTTCAAAATTTAGCCAGGTTGAGAAACTTCTTTATCTAATGTAATTGTCATTTGCTCAATTCAGTACAGACAAGATTCTATGGCAGTAAAAGCAATGAAATATGAAATAATGTTCTTCAAACTGTCAAACAAAATAAAGAAACAATAACAATTAAATATGAGGTGTGCCATCCTGCTATATAAAAAAAGAACTTAATCACTTTTCCCAAATTGCAAAAAAATCTACATCATCAACATTAGTCTTAATGCATTATATATTAGTGACTAGGCATGAACAATTATCGAATAATTGCTTCATGTAAGAATTCAGAAATGGTAACTCAATGGCTAGAAAGTTAAAGAAAAAATAAAAGTTTAAAAGAAGAATTGCTCAAAAAGGACAGAAAGATTGTCACACACTTTCCTATTGCATTTGTAAATGTCAAAATAATTCTAAGTTCACAAGATAACACTTTGATATTTAATCCAGATATTATTTTCCAGAAACTATAGAAAATGAGTGATATTTTAAATGTGATTGCATTTTCTTTTATCCTATCTTGCTTTGTGTCACCCCAAGAGAGAATGTACAATAGAATAATATGATTTTTAGGGGTTTATATTAATATCATAATATTTATCATTTCTAAAATGAGAAAAAGGGCAGCTAGGTGGTACAGTGGATAGAGTGTCAGGCCTGTAGTGAAGAAGACCTGAGTCCAAATCCAGCCTCAGACACTTATTAGCTGTGTGACCCTGGGCAAGTCACATAACCCTGGTTGCCTCAGTTTCTTCCTCTGTAAAATGAGCTAGAGAAGGAAATGGCAAGGCACTAGAGTATCTTTGCCAAGAAAGTCACAAATGGGGTCACAGGAGTCAGACACAACTGAAATGAATAAATGACAAATTGACAAAAGAATATTTGGAGACTTGTAAACTAAGTAAATATCATAGATGATATCTCTTTGATAATTTGATTTTCAAGTTTTCTTCAAGGCATAATGTTATCCTTTACCTTTTTTCCCCTTGGTCCTATAATTCTGATCATTATGACATTTTCCCTTGGTTAACTGGGTTGATGCATACAAGCATTGTCGCATTGCACTGGAATGATATAACCATGTCCAGAATTAGAATTCATTGTCCAGAAAATATATCATCAGCAACACAGTATTCTATGCAATACAAGAAAATCATTACAGTTTCAACAAAATTGGGGGGGGGGCTTTCAGAGAGTAATATAGGTCTTAAGCAATATTGATTATGAAGCAAAAAATTAGTATTCTCAATACCTTTTTTTTTACAGGGGTTAAAAAAAAAGCTAACAGTACCAAAGCAAAACATATTAGACACAGAAGGCAAAATATAGAATTACCTTAAGTATTACACAATACCAGCCACAGGCTATTTTTCTAAAACTATAGAAGGAGGTTTTAGTAAATGATAACTGAATTAAAAATCAATTACTATATGTAAGGAACTTTGTTAGACCCTGAAGATTCAAAGATGAAAAACAGTATATTCAAGTAGGTTTTTCTTTACAAGTGATCCAGTGTTCAAGTCGGCTGTTACATCAACCTGAACGCATTCTCTCAGAGATCTTATCATTCCAGGTATTGTTACATATCTGCTAAGAGAACACAGAGCTATCTGCGTTGAAAATCCATCCCATGTAGTTTTGAACTTAGTGTTGTGGCTCATGGCATAATTCATTGTGCTCTTAACAATATCATATTCTTAACAACAATATATCCCACCATAGTACCTGAATTTACCACAAAACCTAAACATTACAGACTGTGGAAGAAAACTTTGTGCATCCTCAAATCCAAGTTATTTTTCAGCTGAGAAAAATGGCAATCAAAAAAGTTAAGCAATTGGTCAAGAAACACTTAATTTATGACAGAGCTCCACACCTCCTGACAGTCATTTGGATACCCTTTTTATAAAAACTGATTATGTGATATGTTTATAAATATATATCTATCGCTTTGGAACCACCCTGAAGTTATGCTGTCTGTATTTCTATAACATCGACTTAAAAGTCAAAAGATAATTCAGAGTATAACCCCCCCCCCAAATTTAATCATTGTATAAGGCCCAGCATTTTATAGCAAAAAGAATTGTGGTTGACTTTAGAGGCCTCTCAGAAGAATGAACTACAATGGCATTCAAAGACAATATAGTGCTGTGCAGTTTTGTATTTATCTTTCC